AGATCCGGTTGAACCCGAAATAGTTTCGGTTTCGGATACTAATCGGGTTATCGGTTCTAAAAATACTAATTTATACTCAATTAAACTCACTATATTTTCAATCATTTTATTAAATTTGTGTATTTAGCTTCTACAAACCATATTGTTCTCCTTCAAAATAATATTGTGAAACTCATCTATCAACCATATAAGATTTGTCCATGAACTATATGTGACAACACTAAACATATCATGATTAATGACAAACCAAAGCCTTGTATGAACGAAATATAATACATAATGAAACATAAAAAATTAAAATTAACAACTAACAATTCTATAAACATAAGAAGTGCTATTTAAACTTTTAAAAACAACATTATATAAAATTCAAAACAAATTTATTCGTAGCTTAACTTCAAATGTAATGTAAATCATAAACATTAATATTAACCAAATAACACTATATATTAGACTAAATATTTGAGTTAATTATTTATATCATAATTAATTATTGTAGGTACTCAATAATATATTAATCTGTTTTGGAAACATATTAGAAATTTAGATTGGATATGATATAAGTTTTTTTGGAATTTTAAAGTTCCGGGTTCTTTCGGATATCCATTTAAGTTCGGGTTCGGTTCGGGTAATACCCATAACCCGAAATACCGTAAAACAAGATCCATTCGGTACTTATGTCGGGTTCGGATCGGTTCGGATTCCTTTTTATCGGGTCGGATTCGGTTCGGATTTTCGGGTTCAGTTTTTTTTGCCCAGCCCTAATTTTATATATAACAAATGAATACACTTTAGTTCTGTAAAAATAACCAGGCTTATCAAAAGTCCAATGGATAATTAACTTGCATGATTCAAAAACATACATATATACCAAACCATAGATTTCGAGGGCACAAAAGATCTTATACCTTTAAAATGGAATAGGCTAGTTCTGATAATGTCCCATTGCTTGCTTAAGTTATTTCCAAAAGGAGATGACATGCTCTGAACAGCCTCCTGAATCTTAAGAGGTCGTTTAATCTTGTAAACCTGGTAGAAACTGGAACCATATATGCACCAATTTCACTTTGATTTTTTTTTTTTTTTGCAAATGCACCGGTGCTTCTCATAGCTTCTAGTGCTAAATCGTACGCTCTTGATCATTCACTTCGTCGTGTGATGAAAAAAGTAACAAAACCATCAATAGTAAATGCAGATGCTTGAGCATAAGTGGTGGAGTTTTTGTAGTAACTCTCTCAATTTGAGACTCTGGTGTACCACTGATGCACTCATTTAGCAAAGAGTCTCTAAAATTCTGCTGGCAAAGTTGAAGAACTGCTCAGAAGTTTCATCAAGAAATCAAACGATCCTTGAAGATCACGATGGCTACTTCTATATATATATATATGATATGTCATGTAGTTTTATCAGGGTGAGGGTCCATCTTCTGTCATATTTTTTTCGTTCTGCTCAGCTGTTTCCTTTTAGCGAAAGGGAGTTGTTAGATTTTTTTTTTCCACAAATTATCACGTCATTAACTTGGCTTTTGTGACGTTGGTGCAATTTGTTTTCGACCAGATTGTATGCAAGGCTAACTAATACTAAACAAAAGATTCAAAATGAAGTTCAGTTGTTGAGTTATATATGAGTTGTTCAAAAAGAAAAACAAAAGTGTTGAGGTACACAAAATGTTAGAGAAAAAAAGGTCACATGATTATGATGTTTCCTTTTTGACGAAAGTGCCTATACATGTTTTGAGTCACTGGACCAAAAAATTGGTAAGTGGATGATCTTAGGCCCATAAAAGGCCCATCTTAAGGATCATTGGATATATTCAATAACTTGCAAACTAAGGAAAAGCATAACCTAAAAGGGACTCCATCTAGGGTTTAACGCTCTGTAGTCCCCACCATGAAAAAACTAAAGAAGATCGTATCAGAGGATAACCTAACCATCTCCAGACCCAGTACACAATATTCAACCGTAGAAAGACAATACACAGAACCAATCCCAGTTGATGTCCTTATCGATATATTCTTGAGAGTCCCATCAAAGTCTATAGCTAGGTTTTGCTGCGTATCGAAATTATGGGCTAACATACTTGGCCGTCCATATTTCACTGAACTGTTTCTGACGAAGTCTTTAAATCATCCACGGGTCTTGGTAAGCTTTCTAGATAATGGTGGCAAGTTATATTTCTTCTCCTGCCCTCAGAACACAGATGCAAAGTACTCTTCTCTTGTAGCCACCCGTTATCGAACTAATTCATTCAAATCCATCAGCTCAGCGGTCCACGGAATGGTATGTCGTCAATACTGGATAAAATACTACCAGACGAAGGCAGTAATGTGTAATCCTATCACTGGAGAGCTTCTTACATTACCCAAAGTGAAATCACACGAACGGTGTCCACAACTTTATTGCGTGTATGATCCTACCTACAAACAATATAAGTTGTTGTGTGTATCTGCTAAGTCCAGCCAGGCTCAAGTTCTGACACTGAATACTGGAAAACATCTATGGAGAATGGTTGAATGCACGCCCCATCATCCTATCTTCTATCGTGGGATTTCTATTGGTGGGGTTTTGTATTACCTTGCTTATACAACGGGGGATTATATGATAGTCTGTTTTGATTCTAGGTCCGAGAAGTTTAGCTTTATCATAGTAAATGATGGAAGCATGAAAAGCGCTTCTACTCTGATCAACTACAAGGGTAAATTAGGTGAGGTTCATTTTACTGATTGGGAATATAGATCAACAAGACTCCGGTTATGGTTGGTTGAACAAGATGATGCTGGAAAATATAAATGGTCATCGAATATCTATCAACTGCCTCTCTCGTTTACAGACTTTTACATTGTTGGAATGACTGTTGGTACAAGTGATATTGTCTTCTCGCCAAAGTATTTGTCTCAAGACCCATTTTATGTTTTTTACTACAATGTGGAGAGGAAGGCTTTGAGAAGAGTTGAGATACAAGTTGGGTTCCAAGAGATTAAGTCTCTTGTGAGACCTACAACAGTGTACACCTATGAAGATTATGTAGAGGATGTGAAGCTTATGGAAAATCTTTAACTAGGGCTTCGAATTTCCTCCTTTTTTTTTGTTTTCTTTTCATTTTGAGACTATATATGTTCTCTTTTGATTGGTTTTGTGTCCTGAACTTTAAGGTGTTAGTTAATCTTTTTTTTAATGACAAAAATTATTTCTCATGAGACAAACCAGAAATCGTACAATCATCATCATACTGTATCATAATTCATGATAAATACAAAGAAGAAAATATGCATATATATATAGATAGGTACACCATGTGTATATGTGCATATAAATGGAAACGTACACTTTCATCAGCGCCTAGTGGTCTTCGTGGCTTCCAATGTACGTACGTAGTACCGTACTTAAGAGCTTGCTTTCCATGCCGAGTTTGAACAAGCAAGCCGCTTACAGATACAATGCGGTTGGCCATTCTGGAGACACAAGTCACACAACCCGTGTGCTGGCAATGCATCCGTTAGAGCCTCTTGTGCGTTTTCGTTCATCAGATATGATAAGCAACGCCGTGCGTGAACATTTTAGTTGGTGACGCCATTGTTCCTCCATCTATGAACTACACCATGAAAAACATACACCATTGTTCCTCCATCCCTCTTATGCAGCTGGCCGAGCCTCTTGATCTTTCTTTAAACTTCTGCGCTTTGTGGGTTGAACTGTGGAGCCATTTCAAATGCAGCCAAGGCCTGGCACAATCATCAAAGAGAATTTAAATATTATGATTACAACTATATTCAATTGTTTACGACAAAGTTGTGTCATGTGTCGTGAATCATGGTCTATATACAGGTTTGTTTATGATAGGCTGGTTTTTACTTGCAAGTTGTATTTTATTTTTATTTTTAAATTAAGATATTCATACTATGCAACCATTTTAAAATATTTGTGTGTTGCTATATTTTTTTCTAATTTTTATCGTTTTGTACGTCTAGACGTGTTAACAGTATTAAGGTATTCATTTCAAAAATATTAGAAAATATAGGGGTATTATTTAAAAATAGAAAGTGTGTTTAGATAATCAAGAGCTGGGCAAAAAAAAAAAAAAGAGAGAGATCGTTTATTACCAGACCTTCCTCAGACAAGGCATCGTGTCTTTTTCCTTTTAGGTTTCTTCGTTGCGCTTCATCGATAAATCAAAACCCATCACGAGGTCGGAGCCGCCGGCGAGGAAATTCTGAAAATTTAGATCTTTTTTCCACGGAGATCTCAGATTTAAGGCTTCGTCCTTGTTTGGCTCGCATCTAATGGATTCGATGTCACATATATGAATTTGGAGATGATGACGGAATCTATGTGGTCTCACGATCAACCTTCTCCTCCTCCTCCTCCGTCACCAAAACCAGTGGCTCGCCGAAGGTCACAACTTTCTTTATAATTATGGAAATGAAGTAGAAGAACCCTTTTGATGCATCTGAATTATGGAAACTTTGAACAACTTTGTTCTTGTTAAAGAGATCCAGGGTTAGATCAACTACTTACAAGCCTTATATAGGAACATTCAGATTTCTGAATCCTGTTTTAGGATATGGTTATTCAAATGTTTTTAAAAGCGACAGATCTCTCATGTATTATCAGATTTGGCACCATAGCTATGTTCATAACGAAAACTATGACGGCTATAGATTAGTTTTGCTTTGGGAGTGAATCTTGAACTAGATGAATTTATTCTTTTAGCTTCTGATCTGGTTGGATCTTTCTTAATTTGGTTTGAGGATGATTGTTCAGGTCTAGGAGCGTCTTCAAGTTGCTGGTTCAGAGAGAGATTTCACCTAAAACTACGTCTGTGCCAAGGAAACGATGGGGAGTTAGCCGATGTGATGCTGATTCACCGTGTGGAACAAGTAGCGAAGCAGTGAGCGGGCAGAGACATAATCTTATTTCCTGGTATTCAAGCTTTCTTTATCGCAAAAGTGATGTATCTTCCATGAAGATTAATTTATGTAGATTACGTTCTTTGTGTGTAGGGTTGAGGCAGAGTCGTTGCAGCATTTATCTGCTAAGTACTGTCCTCTTGTGCCTCCTCCAAGGTCAACTATTGCAGCAGCTTTCAGTTCTGATGGAAGAACTCTTGCTTCTACACAGTAAGTATTATTTGTTGTACTATGAATCTTTTCAGATGACTAATGAAATTTACTTGGGTTTTGTATATTGTAGTGGTGACCACACTGTTAAGATTATTGATTGTGAGACTGGAAAATGCTTAAAAGTTCTAAGCGGCCATCGGAGGACACCCTGGGTGGTGAGTTTAGAGAATTCTATCTTATTGTCATTAATTTTATCACTTCACATGGTTACTAGGTAGTGCTTTACTTGACCCTAACTATATTACCCAATTGAGATGAATTTGGTGACTCTATTGTCTTGTCACTGCGTCATTGGTTATGTAGGTTGCATGATAGGTGTCAACTTTGTTATCTTTTTGTGTGGGTGTAGCATGTTAGACAACACTTGCAATTATTTAAGTTTCGTTAGCTTATGCTATGAGTTCACTGCAGGTCAGATTCCACCCACGCCACTCAGAAATAGTTGCTAGTGGAAGTTTAGATCATGAGGTGCGCTTGTGGAATGCAAAAACTTCCGAGTGTATTAGATCTCATGATTTCTGTAAGTGCTACGCATTATAGCATTTTGTTCTTTTTCCGCTTCTGTCTTTTTTTTGTTAATATAATTAACTATCGTCCTCTTTTTTTCCCCCAAACAGATCGACCTATTGCTTCTATAGCTTTCCACGCTGAAGGTGATATACTTGCTGTCGCATCTGGTCATAAGGTATCTTATTGCGTTTTAAATATCTCATGAAGGATACCTTGTTTCATGCAGCTTGTCCTTTCAGAGTAAAATAACTGTTCTAAAAGTCTCTTAAAGTTTGATTAATTCATTTTTTCCTCTGAAGTTGCACATATGGCATTACGACAAGACAGGGGAGGACTCTTCACCAGCAATTGTCTTGAAGACAAGGCGTTCCCTGAGAGCGGTACACTTTCATCCACATGGGGTTCCTCTTCTCTTGACTGCAGAGGTGAGCTACATATTGAGGATTTGTGTCAATGTTCTGTCACTTTGTGGGCTTACTCTTTTAAATTCAAATGGCAGGTGACTGACATTGATTCATCAGATTCTGCAATGACTAGAGCAACATCTCCAGGTTATTTGCGATATCCACCTCCTGCTATTTTCTTCACCAACACGCAGAGTGGCAGTCATACCAGTATGGCAGCGGAACTGCCACTTGTGCCGTTACCGTACTTGCTTTTGCCTTCATATTCTCCTGATGATCCAAGAATCCAATATTCTACTCCTACTACTGGTTCAAGGAGTGCACAATCAAGGTTTCAGAGCAATCAAAATTCAGTAGAACCTGGCAGCAGAACAATGTCTACTCCTCCTCCTCCTCTTCCTTTGCATGTCCCAGAGAACTCTGCTAGTAGCAGTTTTACTGCCCAACCTGGAGCTAGAACTTCGACCACTGCCGTTGATGCTATGGATATAGATGAAGCTCAACCTGTTGGAGGAAATAGAATTCCCAGGCAAGTGTCGAGTCAATCAGATTTACTTGAGTTTGGACAATTTCAGCAATTATTTCACTCCAGAGACAGAGTTTCGTGGGAGTTACCTTTTCTACAAGGGTGGTTGATGGCTCAAAGCCAGGCTGGTGCTAACTTAGGGGCTCTTCCTACTAGTGGCACAGCTCCTCATACAGGTTCTTCTTCAGCAGCTCATTCATCCACAGCCAGTCTAGAGGCTGCAGTGGCGTCATTAGAAATTCCTGGTGGTGTTAACTTATATGGAGTTTCTGCTAGAGGCGACTCCAGAGAGCGAATTTCACAGTCCCGCTTCGCAGGATCTGGTTTAGCAGGAGGTCTTTCGTCTCGTAACGCTCAACAGGAAGGAACTGATACTCAACCTGTGGTAAACAGACTCCCGTCTGAACTGGCTACTTCCATCGCTGCTGCAGAGTTGCCTTGTACTGTCAAACTTAGAGTGTGGTCACATGACATCAAAGACCCATGTGCAATACTAAGGTCCGACAAATGCCGATTAACAATACATCACGCTGTTCTTTGCAGGTAAATTTTCTCCTTGATATACTTGTGCTACTCTTGGATGATCGCTATGCTAAATAATATTTCACTTTGTTGATGGAAATTCATCATGTGTGTTTATCTTTGCAGTGAAATGGGAGCCCATTTTTCGCCATGTGGGAAATATCTAGCAGCCTGCGTTGCATGTGTTATTCCTCATGCTGAGACAGACCCTGGTTTGCAGACTCTGGTCCAACAAGATTCAGGGCTTGCAACTTCCCCTACTCGGCATCCTGTCACAGCACATCAAGTCATGTATGAACTTCGTGTGTATTCTCTCGAAAAGGAAACGTAAGTGTTATTACATTTCTCAACTTTTGAAAGGGGATATTACAGGAAACTAACGATAGAGTGTCTTATGTATGTATGCAGATTTGGTTCAGTGCTTGTGTCACGGGCAATTAGGGCTGCACATTGCTTGACCTCTATCCAGGTTAGTCGCCTTGGAAGTAGTAAGATTTGGTATATTTGTTGAGAGATAAGTCTCCATGTGATTCTCACCAATAATCAATAGGCTAAAGTTGCTCACTGATTAGTATTATTGTGATGAAGTATTTTACAATTAAAATTTTGCGTGCAGTTCTCTCCAACCTCGGAGCACATATTGCTTGCATATGGTCGGCGTCATGGTTCTCTATTGAAGAGCATTGTGAGTGATGGAGAAACAACATCACATTTTTTCACAGTGTTGGAGGTAACGTTTATGCTCAAGTAGTTTTGGATCTTTAGATCAAGAAAAAAAAAATTCTTGCAGATCCTATGTTGTAATTTGAAATAACCATTTACAGATTTGCTTTTCTTTTTTTTCTCTTCCATTAGATTTACAGAGTTTCAGATATGGAATTGGTGAGAATACTTCCAAGCTCAGAAGATGAAGTTAATGTTGCTTGCTTTCATCCTTCTCCTGGAGGAGGTCTTGTTTATGGAACCAAGGTTAGTGATCCGATAATGTGCAACTCCTTCCTCAATTAGACATTTACTTAAAGACTTGTTAAATACTTTCGCAGGAGGGGAAGCTTAGGATCTTCCGCTACAACACAGCTGCTGCGTCCAACCTCACTGCGCCAAACAGCTCACCTGAGGAGAACCTGGCCGAGGTAGAATTATTGAGAAGGTTGATCTTGTTGAAATAATCAAAGTTAAAAAGAGTTTGAAGGGAAAAGTAATGTTGTTGAATTAACATATGATTATTTCGATTCTCATCCTTGAAAACATATGAACAACAGGTGCAGACTTATGCATTAGAATGCTAGGCAGAGGGCTCTCAACTGTTATATACATACACACAGACGGATCTTTGCCATTCGAGAATCTGAGAAGCTTTTCCCATTCACAAGCTTGGTGTCATCTTTCTTATACTGCGGAATGTCTCTAGTTCGGATGGCCTTCTCAGTTTGGCGACCTTTTACTAAGAAAAAATGTTGAAAGCATGTGTCTTAATCAGTTACTTGAGAAGACTGCAGAAAAATGTAAAAAAAGAAAAATATGTTGTGTTTGTCGCTGTAGCTTTGTAACTAAGTCTGTAACGACGTTTCTTCCTTTTGTAAGATTATTTTTACGTTGTTTTTTTCCCTTTATCTAGAAAATGTTTGATTTTCATCAAGACGTTAAATCTTATACACAGTGAATCGACTTGAGATTTGAACAGTGAAATTTCGTAGATGTGCTAACACAATCACGCTCCTCAAACTATGTTTTAAGTTTAGCAAATTTTTAGCCAACGTTTAAACTGTAATTTACCCACAAAGTCTAATTTGAGGTCCATTACTTCTTCTTCCTTTCCAGAGTGGAGACATGTTAATCAATATGAGGGAAAATATAGCATAAAAGCAAATGCAGATTGTGTCTGCTAACCGGCCAATCAACTCAAACTTGTCTCTTACAAACTATATCATAACCGGGGAAAATCCAAGCAACTTGAAAGTAAAACTAATGTCACTGATCGATAACAGAGAGACATGTAAGCATTCAGACAAAGTCGGACACTAAACTTGAGCAAATGTCTAAGAACAAGTAACAACAACAGACTCAGTAGTAAGTGTTGTAGTAAGCTTGAGGAGCAGCAGCAGGTTGCTGGACCGGTGCAGCCACTGGTGCTGTAGCTGCAGCTGGGTATGTCTGAAGTTTTCACAAATAAAGAAATGAATTAAAAAATTCTTAATTAAACAACTAGCAGCTAGGTTAATCACTCTTTAAACACAATCGGTTACCTGAGCAGGATATGCACCATAAGCAGCAGCTTGTGGCACGGGTGTTGGTGCTTGTGAAGTAGCATAGCCAGCGGGATAGCCACCATATGCACCATACGCAGCCTAACGTGAATAATGGAAACGTGAATAAGAAAGAGTAATCGCTAAGCAATGAAGCAAACGAGTTGGTTTCAGTTACCTGCTGCTGGCCATAGGCAGGGTTCCACTGCTGTGGTTGTGCAGGAGCCGCTTGTGCTTGTGGCCAAGCTTGAGGCTGTGCAGCATAACCACCGGACCACTGAGTTGGTGCATTTGGATATGCATTGGACACTGGCTGGGCAGACGCAGTGTCATTGTAAGTTTTGGCCAGTTTCGTCCTATCTGAAGAGAGAAACTCATCTGCGCTACGCTTTTTCAACTCTGACTTGCTCCGGTGAGGTAAAAAGAGCTTACAATGCCTATCTTCCGCTTTTTTTATGGTCTCAACATCTCCGAAAAGACCCAGGAACTGCAAAAGCCATAAACATATTTGATATTAAACACACAATAATTTAGATACTTAGAAGACATAAGTTTAGAAGAACAGATTGGTCTCTTTTTGCTCTGTTACCTCTATATATATCAATGATAGCTCTTCTCTCTCAGTGGAACTAGCAGTGTTCTGGGTGTCTACATTTGGCTTTATCAAATTTTCAACAAGTGGGTCAAGGTATTCAATTTTTCTTGGTGGTGGCAGAATGGTCTCGAAAAAAATCAGTGCTTCCATGAAATGTTTTGACGGCTGCACGTGGTCAAGTGCTTCAACCATAATCTTCCTAGCCTTCTCAGCGTCACGTAAAACCTGGAAGTATTATTGAAAAATGAAAGAAGTCAATCCCCATTAAATTTCAACAAAGCTTAACAAAAGGAGGTAGGAAATTGGTTTCGTTAGTAGACATACCAAGTATGAAAACCTTGAATACTGCGCATACAGTAGCGGCAGTAATATGGAATTCTCTTTGCCCTTTTCAACAGCAATGACTTGCTCATACACAGAGAAAGCATCATCCAGATTTCCCTACAAATAAGATTAGGAATAGTAAAGGAATAGTACAGTGATGATATTCTATGGTAGTTCTTCAATTACTACTTGCTCATGAAATCTTACTAGTCGTTGTTCCATGTTCGCATGTTTAATTACTGCTTCAAGAAGCCCGGGAGAAATTTCAGAGTGCAGTAATTGGAATGCAGCTCTAGCACCAGCTATATCCCCATTCTGCTCTTTTAATCGAGCAGCAAAAAGGTGGATTTCTGGTTGTCTCTGCCAAAGAAAAGAAAGCAAATAAATAACCAAGAGCGCCAAAGCAGTATATTAACTTTTCTACAAAGCCAATCATACGCAAAGAGATTAAACTAACCAAAAGTTTGGTGAAACATGTTTCATACCTTGACAAAGACTTGAGTTGCTCGAGCAAGCGCGTTGTCTGCCAGGTCCACATTTCCACTTGATCCCATGCTTAATACATAGCGAATCCAGTATTCAGGGTAGTTTGCACACGCAACAACACATCTCTCATATAGCTTGACGATCTATTGGAAAAAAATATAATGTAAGTCATACATGATGATCGCTGCTAAAAACCAAAAATATGTAAACATAGAAAGAACAAACACTCCACAAGTAGAACAGAGCATGACAGACAGATTGTTATGAAGACCCCTGCATTAATAACGTTGGTACTTTTAACAATAGTCATAACTCACGTACCAAAAAAACTATTGACAAAATGAGAGTGAAATACTTACTACTTAACCTTAAAGTTACCAAATAGAGGCCCATGCTATGGTCCCAGTTATTTCCCATTTAAAAGTTGCTTGATCCAATGGAAACCCAATAAAGCATATGATGCACCAGATACTACTTTACTGTAGGTCAATAATATTACAGAGGTACGACTTAATCTACAAAGACACTTGTATCTTCACATATAATAGAGTTAAGCACCCTAGTACCTTATTGAAGTCTCCATCGGTCTCTATGAAGTCCAGATAGCTATGCCAATTCTCCAGCTCTGCTACATTGAGAGGACGCACATGGAAATAGGGCCTTCTTATAGCCATTTCGAAACCAATGATTTTAGATTCAAACTCTTTGGCTTTGATATACATGGCTTCTCTGATGCCAATGTATTTCTTCAATTCCTCAGGATCAGTTGAAACAGCGCTTTCCACCTTAGATGGTTCAGAGGTACCATCAGCTTGAGATTTTCCTTCATCTGCCTTTCCATCAGACTCAGATGGTGCAGTTTCAGAAGCATCACTAGCAGCAACAACTGGATGTGTTTCAGCTAGCTCCTTAAAGCTGTAGCAGAATAGCACTTATCAACAACAGAAAGACATTAAAATTCTGACACTAAGTCATTAAGAAGGTACAGGGAAGTTGGGAGCAAAACCAGATTGGCACTTAAATCAGTTTATTAAATGCATGACAACAGCTCATTTGCCATATGGCTCACTTCAATTAAGCGCTAAATCAACATATACATTGTTTTTAAGATAACAATTGTATCCACATGAAATATCCAATTCAGAGTGCAGAGGAAAATGATTGATGAAGTCACTTACTTGCTGAAGTATCTATCAAGGTTTTGAATAGGATTCTCCAATATTCTGGTGTATATCATGGCAAGTCTGCTCCAGTCCTGCTGCATGTGCTCATATTCGATGTACTTGTCCCACAATGGAGAGGACAGAAAATCAGTTCCAACGTAAACCAAAGCTCGTTCAAAAAGACTGCAGAAGAAAAAGAGAAAAAAGAATGTCATATAAGCTGAAAGACACACAAACACCGTCCAATCAATAAAGAGACACAAGTTCTATGAAGAAAGAAAAAAGGATTCACTCTTTTAATGCAGAATACTGCCAAACACTGCATTTACCTTCCTGGTAAAAGCATACCGTGGCCAAAATCGAGTAGTCAGAGGCTACATAAAGCCCAAAACTGGTTGAGATCTTCCCAGCAGCATTTTGCATATGGATACACTTCGAGGGGAGGGGTGACAATTAAAACAGGTATTTTTTAACTTCAAAAATTTTCAAGCAAGAGAAGTATAGAGCACCACAAAAATGGAGCAGGTTCACCATAAAAAGCAAGTGAGTTGCATTAAGAAAATATATTTTATAACAAATTTCATCAGATCTTTCCGCCACAAATGAGAGAACTTGCTGTAGCAATCTAAGAAAAGGGTTAGATGGTAAAAATCATTTTTCTAGGTAAATGGAAAACCAATCAGGCTACTGATACACAAACAAATAGAAGAATAAGCACTAATTACCTTCTGATCGTGTCTGGATCTCCATATGTAGTGATGGCAAAAACGCAATAGTGAAGCCATATGTCCACAGAATACGTCACCGCCTGCACTGCTCTTTCATAAACCTCCACGACTTTGTCCATTGCCCCCACCCGAGCCTCATGATCCGCATACTTTTTCCAATAGCCATAACACAGGGGGAATTCAGCTAGGAAAGCATCATACACCTTCCGGATTTTTGCTATATTGTCCTGTAATTAGGGCAGCAAGAACACATTACCAATCTTGACAAAAGAAAATGAAGCACCTAACAATATACAAAGATGAAAGTGACTTATAGCTGTAGACAGAATACCCTTCCGTCACTTATATGATTTAACAAAAATGTAAGCTAGTGGAAACATGATTCGGATATTAAATAATAAAGCCACGAGCATAACTTTCATAGGTCAAAACTAAGTACATAGAAAGCTAAGTACATAGAAAACAAGTATATTCATTACGAAAACCCACACATACCTGAGCTATCCTCTCGGTCTCTTCAATCAGAGCGGTCCAAGTATTAAACTCTGAAGAATTAGCCCTTACAATACTCCATAAGTGCTCCTCTTCCGGTGAAAGAGCAGAACCTGCCACAACACAAAATGTATAAGCAAAGAATTATAACATCAACTTTAACATGTCAATTCCAATTCTCAATGATGAGTCCATTGAGAAAGAACTAACACACGACACGAGAAAATAGAAGAAGAAAATTACCAGCGTTGTCTCCTTGCCCTGCTGCTGCTGGAGCTGTTACAGGCACGTTATCAGTAGCATTCCCATTCTCAACTGGCGCAGCTGAACCACCTTCAGGGCCAGTCCCATTGACTGATTGAGATGAATCAACATTCGATTCCACGGTAGCAGCAGAAGCGTTATAATCTCCATGTGGAGTAGAGGTATATCCCTCAGCAACCATGGCTTGGCTTTCTCCCATAACTCTCTAAACCGTAACTGCAACAAAAACAACTTTTACATAAAAATGGAATCTAAGTAGAAAGCACATATAATACTCTCATCAATACGTAAAGCTGGATACGTAATTTTATAGCAGGACAAGCAAACACTAATCATAAACTCCTATAAACATGAGCTACCAGAAACAGAAACCCTAATTGTATTCCCAATTCTTGAAAACACGAGGGAGAGGGAAGGATACGAACCTCGGAAACTGAAGAGTAAGCTCGCTTCTAGAAGTAATTCGAATCTGTAAGTAAGTGCTCTCTCTTTCGGAGTGGCTTCAATGGAGGAGCTCTTTTTTGGAAGAGAAGAGAGGTTTGTAGGGTTAGAGACGACGCGTGATGTGTTGGTAGGTGCACGGTAGGATTGAGATTCAATCTAATCTGGGCCGCCACTAAAATGGGCGTATATTTTTAGTAGATGGACCTAGTATTAGGCCCATTAAGCTGATAAATCCTTTCTTCATATAATCGAGCATCTCTGCCAAAATTAAATCTCTTAAGTGGACTAACCAACGCCTTGATGATGTTCAAGGATCTATAGTCAACATAAAGTCTATTAAGCTCATATTATTTATTCTCTTCGGACGCCAAAGCCCATGATTTGTTCTGAAGAATGGAGTCAGAGTGTAATTGTTAATGAATGAAACTAAGTCTCACATTGGTAGTTGGAAAAGTAATTAAGTAATATATAAAGGGTTATGGTCAATCCACTTATCACCAATTGGTTTTAAGTTGGAAGCCCATAATGAACCCAAAAAGTTAACATGGTATCAGAACCACCCGATATTGGAGAAGTAATTAAGTAATATATAAAAGGTTATGGTCAATCCATTAAACAAACCGAAATTGGAGAAGTAATTAAGTAATTAAGTCCATAATAAACCCAAAAAGTTAACATGGTATCAGAACCACCCGATATTGGATAAGTAATTAAGTAATATATAAAGGGTTATGGCCAATCCATTAAACAAACCGAAATAAACCATTTTTGGTAATTTTGGAGATCATTCTCTGTATAACTTGAGGGCCTAGTGCATGTGACTTAATTTTAGTTGTAAGTTTTGAATATAGCTAACTCTACCTCATAAGTTATAACAAAGTCGTTTAGTTTTTACTAAACCATCGTTTATTCTACTAACTACTATCAGTTGTGGGAATGGAAACAATGATTATATTTTTTGTCAATTCTTCAAATGGTTTGTTATTGTTCATGTGAACAACTGATGGCAGCTCAGCAAAATCGAGTGTTTAGATTGTCAACTCGTAACGAGTTATTGGTACCGACAATTATTACATGTATCTGCGAAAATGGCAAATGCGAGTTGTTCTTGAGGGTCATGCTTAGCCACGATCTGTATATGTATATGTTCGTGTATTGAATAATGTTATTTAAAACGTTGTCTACATCTATCCTCACTAGCAAATCACTATACAATTGGGTTTCACCGGTATATATTTATTAAAAAAATTAAATTCCATGTGCTTTTATTCCCACTCTTCAATCAGTTTGTCACCATAACCTGACCACGTACCTTTAGATCTATATGTCTCTTGTCCTTTTTATTTCATAAAGACAGAAAAAAAAAAACAGATTAAACAATTTATTGTGTAATTACTTTGAATAGAGACTGGATCGTTAAATTTCTCCCGTGGTATCGTTTGGATCCTAGTAAAACAGTCATGTTACCATTTTCATGTCTCTTTTGTTAAATATTTAAACATGAATTAAAAAAAAAAAAGAAGCATATCATGCATCCAGATAGTAAACAACGATCACTACTAAAGAAAAACTGAAAATAAAATTGCAATAAAATATGAAATGCCAAAAAAAGCTTGGATTCAGATTTGTATTTTCTTATTCTTTATTGCTAGAGATACGTAGTTTGACTCTTCCCTACCTATAAAATCCTCTTTACACACAGTGATGAGATTCTCAAAGATCCAGAGCTCTTCTTTTCAAAACATGGACCGATCAATAGTTCTTTCTCTAGCACTAGCCTCACTCTTGGTCGGAGTCGTCTCAGCTCGTGACTGGAACATATTGAACCAGCTCAAAGGTCTCGGTTCATCATCATCAAGCCAAAACGGTATCGTCTCTTCTGGACTCTCCACGAACCTGAAACGGTACTGCGAAAGCTGGAGGATCAACGTGGAAGTATACAACATCAGAAACTTCGATGTGGTGCCTCAGGAGTGCGTGTCGTACGTCAAGAAGTATATGACGTCTCCTCAGTACGAGGATGACGTGGAGAGAGCCGTCGATGAGGCCATCCTTTATTTCGGGAGCATGTGTTGTAGCAAGAGTAAGTGTGATGGCATGGACGCTTGGATCTTTGACATCGATGACACGCTTCTCTCTACCATTCCTTACCACATGAACAATGGCTTCTTTGGGTAAATATGTTTCTAGCTCTCTAACTCATCCCGGTTTAAGATAACCGGGGTTTAATCTTGTTTGATGATACTAATAATGTGATTGTGTAATTGAAAACAGAGGAGAGAAGTTGAACTCTACCAAATTCGAGGATTGGATAAGGAAAAGGAAAGCACCACCAGTGCCACACATGGTGAAATTGTACCATGACATTAGAGAAAGAGGCATCAAGATCTTCCTGGTCTCTTCACGTAGAGAATATCTCAGATCTGCCACCGTTGACAACCTTATCCAGGCCGGTTATTATGGCTGGTCCAACCTCATCCTCAGGTATAATTAAACCGGAGATCGTAAAACCAAAATGTATTTTGTTCATAGATTGTCTAAACCGAACAAACCCATAGAAACCAATTATAAGCATTGAATAGTTTGATATCTACATTTTAATACATTCACCACTATTTGGTTTATATATTCTCTAAACCAAAATTCAGCTAAAAACAATGTTGTAAACTACTCTACTTAATGATCTGGTTTACTCCAACCGGATTAGATAACCGGTGTACTAAAACTAGAAATACTGAACAATGCAGGGGTTTAGAAGATGAGCATAAGGAGGTTAAACAATACATGTCAGAGAAGAGAACATGGCTCATGAGTCTTGGTTACAGAGTATGGGGAGTGATGGGAAGCCAATGGAGCAGCTTCGCAGGTTGTCCTCTTCCCAAGAGAACCTTCAAGCTCCCAAACTCCATCTACTACGTGGCCTGATCATTACACTGCAAAGCTTTGATTTAAGCTTTTTGGAACAAGAAGAACCCATAAATAAGAAAGAACGGTTTTGATTGTGATTCTTATTTTTGTTTTTCCCTTTCATGTCATCTTTTTTTTTTTTTTATCACACCCTTTCATGTCATCATCATATATCAAAAGATTTATGAATAAAAAGGTTTTTGTTTTCAGTACTACAAAACAAACAAGTATGTATGCTACAGAGAGCGAGCAATCAAATTAACATTAGAAACAATTAGCCAATGATTTACAGTACCAACTAAAGAAAGTGATGAAAGAGTGAAGTACCATTATCTATTCGGAAACATATCTTTTGATTCTTTCTATAAGTTAGGTGATCATGAGATGTAATGTGTAACTAGCAATGGACTCCAAGAGCCATGTGTGACCAACAGTCATCTTTTGTCTTAACCTCTAACGGTCATATTTCATCGGTTCGAAACTCAGAATTTCATTATATGGGTACACGATCTTCCAGTTGAATTAATGTTTTCTTTTGGTGTATTTGGTGCATTTGTCCTTGGTCAAGTTTCAATTAGAGCTAAAGGAGGATCACGAGAGCTCTCATTCTTCTTCAAGCGTTACTTTATTTTGCTGCCATGACGATGCCAGGAGAATAAACAAGACGAAAACCTCTCTGTTCCTACCTATTTAACACTAATCACTCCCATTTTCTTTTCTAAAGAACCAATCAAAACGTTAGGAATCCACAAGATATGAACAATCTATACTCCTTATATGGCCAACAACAGTATCTAATCCTTACTGTATCTCATATTATAGAGCTGCATCTTCTATATAAAATGTTTTTCTTCCTCTTCAAAAGTAACGTTTAGCGACAAAAAATTTCATGAAATTTGCATTCTTCGAATCTCCCACTCCCAGAAGCTTTAAACTCCAATCTCTGATCATGGACCTGAAAGCAATCAACCAAATGGTTACCGACTCTCATACACACTATGGATTTTATATCCCATGGAAGCATTTGCACATGTGGATGTTGTGGTTAAGAACTTAGAAGCAGTGTCAACTTACAACTAAAATGGAGGTTCCAGTGGTTCATCCGCACTCCCATTTGAGACTTCCTCCACATCTTCTTCCATTGACAATCTCACATACTCTCTCTGCGCGAAACGATCCCACTCTGTTAAACTTGGATCCTCCCGTTCCTACAACAATTAAATACAACCATAGTTTTATTTCTAACTGCAATAAGTCCAACTGCTTTTACTAGTTAAGCTAGTCATAAGTTTTTGTTCTACAAAGCCAAACTTACCTGGCGAATGAGGAAGGGGTCACGTGTTTCAAAAGCCATGAATTTGTTAAGGTTGAAGAGTATATTGAAGACGTTTCCTGAAAGTTTGGATCCTTTCAGATCCTGGAGGGTGAGGCAGTTCTCCTTCTGTCAAGTAAAACGACCATATAAAAACAGATTGGAGAAATCAAAACAATCATGTGTTCTAGTATGAATAGTATCTAACCTCTGGTTTAATCATGTCAATTATTTGACATAGGATATCGTTGAAGTGAACAGGTTCTTGGGTTATGCTTTCCATGCGATGAAGCTGCTCTTCGAAAAAAAAATGTATTTCGTTTGGAGTGATCACCCCATTTCCATCCAAGTCTATGCACTTGAACCTGATAGTATATCATCACAGGGGTTCAACATAAGTGTTTTATGTTCTGATAACCTCTCAGTATGAGATACTGTAACAATATAAGCGGACAAAGATGTTTTATGGAGAAAAGTCCATATATGTCACTGGTTTTGGCTCAGTTGAAGTATATAAATCATGATCTTCTTATTTTAAAACCAAGGGGATTCTTCATAGAGGAAAACCAATATTAACAAGGAGGTGAGAGTTGTGTACCAATACTCAAGACTAGGCTCAGAAGACTTGTCTTCCTCGGCGAGAATGAAGTATACAAAATCTTCATAACTCATCTTCCCTTCAACTTTGCTCGTAAACTTCCTAGGAGCCTAAGATAGAAACATAGCCACAACATGGGTCAAGATTAAGTGAAAAGCGTCCCGTCAGACTACAACGTAGCTTTACCATATTTCGGGAACCAACCTGCGAAAATATTCTATCAACAATCCTGTAGGTAAGGGCATGGTTACCATACTTGATAAGATTGTCCTTATCAATAAAGCAGTCATGGTCACCATCAAGTTCCCAGAATCTGCAGTATATCACGTAAAAGTGCTCATAGGAGAAGTACCTGAAAAATCAAAAGATGACATGATTGTGAATGATTGAATTAAGGCATAAGTTTTGTCTTAGCAAAATATGAAGGTATAAACCATAATCATATAGCTCTTTCCTTTTGCACTAATTTAATGATATATATGTGATTAAGACACTCGAATGTACTACATCTTTGTGGGATTGTTAGAAAAGTATGAAAAAAAGAACAACAAACTCACCTAAAAATTTTATTGATGTCGTCTTCTTCATCAAGCTGTTGCATAGCAGCAATAAGATTTCCGCGTTTCAGCTCTCTAGGAGTAAGGCAGCCAGTTCCGGATCTGTTAATGTAGTAAAATATTCTGTAGATGACCGTTTCAGCTGGGTAATCAATGAAAGATAACGTTAGTACTAGTACCAAATGCAAATAACCAGAAGATATTTGATATCTGCGGTGATCTTTAACTTTACTGACAATGCCCATAAAGTAGGATGAGAAAAACTAATTTATGAAAACAGTCACACAGTAAAACAAAAGAATAAGGTTTGAGGATGTCAGAGATGCGGGTTAACTTATAATTGCATAAACGTCCTATCTAACATATAAAGGAGAGCCAAAAGTTTTCACCATATGTAACCCCTAAAATCACTAAGTCACAAAGAAGAGTCCTAGTGTCCTACCATATCTTTCTTGAAATTCGCATGTCGTCCTCAGAAATTCTAAGCCAGGATGTGTTGCCAGAAGCTCATCAAGAAGTGGTTTGAAGTCTGCCTGTAGCCAAATCCAAGAAAAGAGAGAAATCTTTAGTGTTATGGGTTAGAAAAAAAGAGAAGTCAATTGTTGGAAAATAAATTAGAAAAGTCGGAGAAGAATCACAAAGAGACCTGTCTGAGGTACTTGCAGTCCTGCTGCCTTAGTATATTGTATATCTGAGAGGCTGTGTCCATAGTTAACATATTTCCATCAATCCAGTACTTGATAAATGCATCCCTGAGGACAACAATGGGGGTCAATCAGCACACATTAGTGAAGCACCAACTACTCAAATGAATTTTTAGGTACTACAAACTAAAAAAAGAAGAGAGAAAAAGACATATACACATACACACCCCACAACTGCTATTAGGAAACATCTTATAGAGAAAAGTTAACAGGCATGAAGCTACCTTGTAACTACACCGCTGGAATCGGGATCCATCTTTCTGAAAAGTGCAGAAGAAAGAAAAGAAGGCAGCTTGCAGACTTCTTTCGTAATAGGTTTAAATTCTGCAAGAGGAACATGAATGCTAAGATGGAATTTCCTTCAATATTCATAAAAAAAAAGTGAACAAGAACATGAATGAAAGCTTTACCATGTACATGTAGTCCGTCAATAAAGTTACTAAAAAAATGATCAACCATGGATATACATTGCTCCTTTAGCTCTTTTGCTGGTGGAGGCCCATGCAGGAAGTAGAACTGCAGAAAAACATCATCATCGTATAAGAAGAATATTTAAGAATACAGAACCACAGTGCCCGTTTCCCTGCCACAAACTATTATGAGCAAAACTAAGTGATATTATTATAATGTGACAGTGAAAGAAATTTTTCTTGTTCAAATAAGTTTAAACTAGCAAACAACAGCCTCTTGTGTACTCTGTATCTACTTAAGACGCTATATGTATGGATCCAGTTTCAGTGACCAATCAAGTAACAACATAGATACCACCAATCACAAGCAAGGCAAAATGCACTGGACTGTTAAAAGTAAAAAGGATCCAATGAGAACAAACCTGAGGAATGAGTTCTTCTTGCTTTGGTTCCTTAACTGATGATTTCAAAGGAGAGCGGAGAGATGGAGAGCTAGCTCTTTGCCTGGAGAAACCAGGCGAGGAGGAGCTTCGTGGGGATAGTGGAGGAGTAGCATTGCTCAGAAAGACAGATGGCATCAAAGCAGAAACATTGATGGTGGCGTAGTTACTCTTTGATTTAGCGTCATCAATCAAACACTTGACCTACACAGAAACAGAGAATAAATGTTAAACCAAATGTGCCACACAGCGGAAACTAGAAAGGAAGTACCAATGAGGCAGTTTGAGGGAGTGAGAGCCAGTGGGAGAAGAGTTCATCAGCAATATTGTGAGAGCTTGTTTTGAGCGGAGAAGGGAGATGTAAGAGCTCAGGATCTAAAATGTCGACAATATCCATCTTCTTCCACTAAGAACAACAACTTCTTCCCACTCCTCCAATCAATTCTCGATTCAATAAAACCCTAGATTTTCGACTTATATATATACAGAATCAAATCTATGGCCGATAATAGACGAACTGCGATACTTTCCTGAACTCGGAGTTGAGTGGAACTTTGGCAGAAGAGCCAACTAAGCTCTCTCCGATGATATAATGGAGATTGAAAGGTTTTCGAGGCGGAGAAAACTGCGAGAATTCTTTCTCCCCCGGAAAGTGATGAAGCCAAGGACTCGAGAGAGTTAGATATTTTTATTTCCTCGGCGGTTTAATTTTACACTTCTTTCTCTTTGACCCAAGTCAACCCACAATAAACCGCCTATTTTACATTTTAAAAAAAATTAAAAAATAGATAGTGTGATTTAAATGAAAGATAATAATTCGAATCTATAACATTATTTGAGAAGTAAATTTGCTTAGTTGTCAACTTCTCCATGATTTTAGGTTATTTTACCTATTTTCACGTTTTAATAATTTAGTATATAATAAAAACGAATTTATGTTAATAATATTATATTTTTAGAAAATATGTTAATTATTTTGTATTAGATTGTTATCTTAAAAAATATATTATTCAATTATTATTTTAGAAGTAAAAATTTGCTTAGTTGTCAACTTCTCTATGATTTTAGGTTATTTTGCTTATTTTTATATTTTAATAATTTTATTATAAAATAAAATAAAAAGAATTTATGTTAATAATATTATATTTTTTGAAAATATGTTAATTCTTTTGTATTAGATTGTTATCTTAAAAATATATTTTTAATTATAAAATTTGTGTGAGTTTGCTGATTAATTTGTAACTTTCTGTGATTTAGGTAATCTATACTATTATTTGTGAATGATTTTTTGCAAGAAAGCTCTCACGTTGAAAGTTAAAACGGTTAATATCGTTTATACCCTTAATGAATAATTAAAAAAATTAATTTAACTAAACATAAATAAAAAACGAATTTCAATGATTTTAGATTTATCTTTATCTAAAACTATTTTATATTGGGTTATAAAGTTTTTATTAACCTTGAAAAATAATTATATTAGTTAATATACTTGAAAAATAATTATATTAGTTAATATATAATTAATTATAAATTAAAATCGAATTTCATTTATCTGATAATTATCCTTATTTTTTTATATTATGTGATAAAGTCTTTATCAACCTTGAAAAATAATTATATTTGTTAACATATAATTAATTCTAAATTTAAAAATGAATCTCATGAATTTGATAATTATCTTTATCTAACTTTTTATATTGTGTTATAAAGTCTTTATTAACGTTGAAAAGATAATTCTATTTGTTAATATATAGTTAATTATGAAAAATCAATTTGCAAAGAATTTATGTATAGATAATTTATATTGTGTTATCCAAAACATTATTAAACATAATTTTTTATACTTTTTTGTTATGTCTAAAAACGATATTAATTTATTACTAAATGTTTCAAGTTTATGAGTATTTTTAAATATAAATTGTGTAATGAAAATTATTTATATGATGATGAAAATTTTATAAATAAAAAGAATTCCTTTAGTTTATTATTAAATATTTTGAGTCTATGAACAATAATTTATTATAATTTACATAACTTGATTATATATTTATTTATAGATATTAGTAAAATTATTAAGCCCGCAAGTGCGGGCAAAACACCTAGTTTAAAATACAGTATAACTCAAACATGTGATTTACGAGGCATAGCCTACTCATACCCAGGTCTGATGATTCTAAGAGCATCTCCATTGGAGGTTCTTAGGGGGAGTTCACCCCTTTCCCAACAAAAAAAAAATAGAATAATATTATTTTGATGAACCTCTCTCTCAAAAGTTCATGGTGGTGAACCTGGTTCACATGGGGTTCGCCACGTGGCGACCCCCTATTTGTCCGATTTTTTTTTTTTTTTTTTTTTTAAAAATGAAAAAATCAATTTTTTTTTTGTTTTGGTGAACCTCCCATGGGGTTCACCAATGGAGATGCTCTAACTTGCCTCGTTTTATAATCTTGTTCTCGAATTGACTATTGTAAACTTTTTTCAAAGTAACGTTGTTATATATTGAAGAAAAGGAATCTTAGAGGCAGCATGACAAAGTCAGAGCATGTTGTGTGTACAAACTACAACATGGCTTCTTCTTCTTCCCTCAGTTCATGTATTTTTGCATTTTCTCTTATGCTTCTCGGCAATAGCCTCGGGAACGACATGTATGCTTCTTGTTCTCAGGTTGTTAATTAAAGCTGCATGCATGCATGTTTCTCCCACTCTAAAGCTTCATTTTCTCCTCTCATTCTCTGTAGGTACTGACTCTGAAAGTGATGATTACAAGCTCATCAAATCTTTGTGTTCTAGAATAAGTAGTCCTCCAGATCAGGCTAATCCGGATTGGAGATATGGTATTAAACGATTCATCTCTCTTGCTTGTTCACCATTCCCAAATTTTTTATTGTTTTTATCACCCTCCCTAACTTGAGAGTTCTTCTCCACAGGTCATATTATCCGTCGTTGGAACCAGAAAATTAAGATGGATGTACTGCCAAGTGCCAACACCTTTTGATGATATTATTATCTGATATGCTTAGAGAAACGCCACGAGAGTATCAAGCTTTGATATGTCAAGCATTTTTGAATGGGAAAGAGGTTTAGTTGAGACTTAGACCTAATCGTTGTATCTGTTACAGCCAAATCAATTAAATTTTTGTTGTATCAATGACTTACTTACGTGCCAAGCTTGGCAATTAACCCATGAACAGAACACCATGTGTGCCTAATCTACATAGTGGGCCTTAACTATGGAAACCCAATATACAATTATGTGAACATTCCAACCCATATCACCCACATCTTACTCTATTATATAACTTACCAAACATAGTGGTGGTTGTGGAGGTTGGGGCACACACATGAGAGAACGTCTAATCAAAAACTACACAACTTTACTTGCCCGGGGGTTCAACGTTCAATACAATAGTCCAAAAGACACAACTCTTTTCCTTTATAAAACAACAACACGTTTCCAGCTTAAACTACACACACCATGGCTCATCTTCAATCTCTTAATAACCTTATTGAGACCAGTCACATCTCTCCCTCAAACGGTACCGTTCCGTCCACCACTCTTCCTCTCACGTTTTTTGATGCACCGTGGCTTACTCTCCCACTCGGCGAATCTCTCTTCTTCTTTTCTTACAAAAACTCAACTGAATGTTTCCTCAAAGATTACCTCCCTAACCTCAAACAATCACTCTCCCTTACTCTCCAACATTTCTTCCCTTACGCCGGTAAACTAATCACTCCACCTCGTCCTGACCTTCCCTACTTACGCTACAACGATGGCCAAGACTCTCTTCTTTTCACAGTCGCTGAGTCCATAGGAACTGATTTCGACCTTCTCATAACCGATTCTCCTAAAGACATCAGAGTGTTGCATGACTTCTTGCCCAAGTTACCTCCTCCTCATGTCTCTCCGGAGGGAATTCAGACACGGCCAATAATGGTGATACAAGTCACCATCTTCCCTGGAAAAGGAATCTGCATAGGTAACACGTCTACACACGTTGCAGGAGATGGAGTCACTTTCACTCACTTCATGAAGTATTGGATGTCACTGACCAAATCCATCGGTAAAGATCCTTCCACGCTTCACCTACCCTCTCCTCCTATTCACAGCTGCAGAACCATTATTAAGGATCCAGGCGAGGTAGCCGCAGGACATTTGGAGCGGTTTTGGAGTCAAAGCTCTGGAAAACACAACTCACATCCCACGCCTGAGAACATGGTCAGAGCTTCTTTTACAATGAGTCGGAATCAGATAGACAATCTCAAGAGTTTGGTTACAGAAAATTCTGAGAATCAATCTCCTGTTTCGACCTTTGTGGTTACTCTAGCTTTCGCTTGGGTGAACTTGATCAAGGCACTTGTTCAAGACAGTAGTGAAACAGAGGAAGACAAAGACGAGCAAGTCTTCCACTTGATGATTAATGTGGATTGCAGGAAGCGTATCAAGTACACAGAACCGATACCACCCACATACTTTGGCAACTGTATGGCTCCTGGTATCGTATCTGTCAAGAAACGAGATTTGTTAGGAGAAAAAGGGGTTTTGGCTGCTTCAGACGCAATTACGTGGAGAATCAAAGATATGTTATCAAGTGATTTATTGAAGACAGCACCGAGTTGGGGACAAGGAGTACGTAAATGGGTCATGTCAAGTTTTCCAACTTCTATTGCAGGAGCTCCTACACTAGGACTATATGATATGGATTTTGGGTTAGGGAAGCCCTGCAAAATGGACTTGGTGCACATTGAAACAGGTGGTTCTATTGCTTTCTCAGAGTCAAGAGATGGGAGTAATGGAGTAGAGGTTGGATTAGCACTGGAGAAGACGAAAATGGATACCTTTGTTTCGATTTGGCAACAGGGGATCAAGAAGTTCAACAAGTAGCATGCATGATACAAACGAGTTCACTAGCTCTGTTTCATGCATATCATAGACCTTTCTCCATACAAGAACTTAAAGTTAACTAAGTTCAACAACCATTCTCGAAATAATTATGATTAGCTACTTTCCACCAAGGTCACTGATTATATTTCCATCCTCTCATCCAAAAACTTTATTATGTTAATATTTCCACCACGTTACTCCTTTCCTCAGATAATATATCATTACCTCTTTGTATCAAATTCAGCCAAATGGTATAGTAGCGACCAGATCAAAAAGAAATTGGCTCATATTAAGAAACTCAACAATGTTTTACTCTTATATGTTCCGTTGATAATGAAACTCAGAAGCGCGGGTAAATTTATAATCATAGCAAATCATGATTAGAAGCATCGTAGATTAAATTTCTACTCCAAATATAGAGAAAAAAAAGAGTAACATCACTCTTTATTTCACACTATAATAGTAACTCTATGATAGAGTGAACTATTGGAGCAAATTCAAATTTATAATAGATTACACTAGTATTGTATAAAATATAGAAAAAAAAATAGTATACCATAAGAGATGGTCTTACAAACAAACAAAAATACAATCAAAATATAAAATAGAATATAAAAAATAGGACATATAGAATCATAATCATGAATCTAGATCTGAGTATGAATAAGTTATTATCATATTGTTCTATTCTATTTAGTTTTTTTATGTCTATCTATTTAGTTGAGATTAATTATTTTTGAGTCATGATTTTCAGATATAAATAACATCCAAATCATTTTTCGGTTTCGTTTCTGGTTTCGATTTACCTAATTAAACACCCCTTAGCCACATCAATGATGTCATCGATTATAAATTTATAATGTGCGGCACTACTCAATAACTCTATCAACATGTCACATCATGCAGAATTTGTGGCTGTCAATCCGGATGATGGGCGCGTGGAGACTTATGCTTACCCCGATCCCAATGGCAATGAGTAACCAACAATTAATTTTTTTCTTTTCACTTTTTGTAATTTCTTTGTATTCAGTCTCTAAACTGTGGGATATATTATTTTCGTTAATTTGCTTCAGGTTTCATAATATGATGGAACTCATTGAGTATGATCTGATGGATCTGAACATGGATCAGACCACAAGGTACATGCAAAGCTTGGAGGGAGTCGTCGGTATGGCACTGAATCAACGCTCAAACGCGGAACTGACCTACTTGCGTGAGCGTTTGGAAGTTGTTGTTGCTGCAATTACTGCAGAGTACAATGCTCGTGGCTGAAGTGGTGGATTTAAGAAATCTAAGGATGTAGATAGCTTTAAAAAACAAACGCAAAATTTTGTCTTTATCTTTTGTCTCTTTAGATGTCCAATGTGCTACAAGTTTTTATCTTTTGTCTCTTTAAAAGTCCAATGTGCTACAAGTTTTAAACATATATTTAAGTGTCTTATACACAAAGGCGTCCAAATATCTTTATATTGACGACCCATATACAAATCGAGAGTAGTTCGTAGAGCAACTGATGGTTTAGTAAAAACAGAAGGACTTGGTTATAACTTCTAATTTATAAAAAGAATTAAAGGCTCATTTATATTGACGGCCCATAATTAATCACACCTTTATAGGTAACGTTTCTTTCTTTGAATGATGTTCATTTTGGGTGCCTGAGTTTCACTTTCGTTTCCTTGAAGATATTCGTCAGTTTTTTTAAAAAGTTGCTAAAAAACGCACAATTTTTGCTAAAAAAATCAAAATACATTTTTTTGGCTCAAAAAGCTATGTATAGTGGTCAGTGGTTTAGATAAATCTTCGATTATGATGACATCAAATTAAACCTTTATAGTGTCAAGATACAATGTTGATTCTAAAACACACAACTATGCATAATTTCATCAACGAATACATATATTTCATATCTTTCTTTGTTATAGAGAAACTTTTTTGTTGTGCATAAAAGTCTAGATAGAGGTAAAATTCTCCTTTTCAACCCAACATAATAACAATTTTGTTTGAATTTTCTATCTTCAGTTAACGTGGTATATACTCTATATACCTTTAGTATTGTTTAAATTAGACTACAGTATTTGATAATAGTCAAAAGCTAGATCGACTATAGCAACTACTGATACTCTCAATTTCTCTACCTTTTCTGTGTGATATTTTCAAATTCATGTTTCTGTTGCTAATTGGTTAGAGTCTAGATTATTATATATTTCCCAGCAATCCAACTTATTTTATATAATATATTTAGACGAGATTCTAGATTTTGTGATTCGTTTCAAATAAATGTATTAGAATATATCGTAGATCCTGACATAAATTTGTGTCTGTAAATTTTGAACATAAATCATCCTTCTGTTTTCTAGGTTTGCAACACAATGGGTAGAAAAAGAAAACAAGCTGAGGACGCGGTGCCAGTTGACGATGAGGAAACTTGAGACCAGTTGTGTGTCAGCTCAAGCGGATACTTCACTCATCAGGCGCAATTACTATACCAACAACTGGTGTGAGTGTGGCGGCCGTTGTCGTTTCTGAAAATGAAGCACAATATCGCTACGCTTCGGCTTCCATATATGAGGTTCTAGCACATCATGTTTATCAGCCCATGGAACCTATGGCCAGTTTCAGAGCAATGAATGATCCCAATATTCAGGAACCGAATGCTCAACAATTGGCATTGTTGGTGCTGCAATGAATGATCCCAATGTTCAGGAATCGAATGCTCAACAATTGGCATTGTTGGTGCTGCAGACCAATGAGGCTCGAGCAGCCGTTGAGGCAGAGCAGAATCAGCGCGTTGTTTACATCGCTGATGATATGGTTGATAAATTTTCAATTAATACTATGAAATTAACCAACTCTACACTTTCATTGTCCAAATTCATTGTATAATAAACTTAAATTATGGGTGGGTATTCGAGAGCCAACCAAATTTGGTTCGAGTCTAATTAAATTTCAAATTTTTAAGGTTAAAAATTCCATCTCCATTTGAATATTTATAAATTTTGATTCGGGTTCATTTCAGATCTTTTCAGGTTCGGATTGGGATAACCAATTTATTGTTTTCACCGCACATATATCTAGAATACACTTATAAAATAGTATAAATATAAAATATAATCTTAATCATGTTCTTTAGTCACATAAATAAGTATAGACAAACTTAAAACCATATAAAACTAAACAATATAAAATTATGTATATATAATTTGCTTAAAATAAATAAAATTAGCTACTTTCCACCACGTTACTGAACTCAATGCTGCATTGTGATTATATCTTCATTCTCATCCAAGAACTTTATTATGTTTATTCAGGTGCATTCCACCAAGTTCATTATTCCTTTCCCTCAAATAATATATCATAGCCCTTTTATATCAAGTTCAGTTAAGGTAAAAACCAAGTGGTATAACAATAACAAGTTAAATACAAAACAAAACCTCTGAAAACATAGATTTAGATTTGTACCATGTCGTCCAATATGCAGACGGATTAATAGCTATGAAACTCATTCAATATAAACATAAGTTATTTGACAGAAAAATACGTATATTTTGAATAACAAAAAAAAAAACAATAAATATATTTTGTTGTATTTTTTTCAATGAGCACAAGAGTGTATAGCAGCTAAACAATACACACACAATGTGAACTTGTCCCTAGTGTCCTTATTCTTACTAATACTCATACATATGATCAGTGATCTCATCCTTAATTACCAATCATCGGTAGTAAGCCATGTGTCTAGATGACCTAAAAGGAGAGTTATCAAATGGAGATGGTTTCCATGCTGCCACAGGCTCCTTCTTCTTCTTTTTCTTGTCAAGTTTTGTCTCAGAACGGAGCCAAGATTCTACCACGGAGAGGAGGTTGGGTGAAGTTTTCATCTCGTTGATATCTGCCATTTTCGATGAACGATTTAGCTCACCGTTTTGAATGTAGGCCAAATGTGTAGCCCATATCTCTAGCCCGTCGAATATATGAGTTGCATATACAATGGTAGCTCCTCTCTGAGGTCATCAATGATATAGACAAGTAAAAGACCATGCACCATAATCAAACCTACTACTAATGCACAATGGGTGTAATGTTCCAGTTTCTAACCAATGGAACCATGAAAGCAAGCAGCGTATATAGTTAGAAACATGACATTTAAATGGTTGATCGTACCTGATCACATTCTTCTTTGAAGAATTCCAGCAAATCCATCCTTGCAACAACATCAAGGTCAACAGTTACCTCGTCAAGTAACAACACCTGTAAAATCAGATTAGCATTAAGGTCAGAAATGATAAGATGACCACAAAATTATAACTCTTTTGATTAAAGCCATATGAGAATATAACTGACTCTTAGAAACCATATATATTCGTTTTACCTTGAAGGGATGTAAGAGCCCCATGCATATCTGAACTCGGCGTTTCTGCCCATCAGAAACCTTATGCATACGCCACTGAAGATTGATGTCAAGAAGATCAATCAGTTTCTCTCTTCTCACCGGATCGATTCCTTCAACTAATATGACAACAAAAATGAATAATCTGCTTAAGTCTAAGCCTGAAAATAGTGTAAAACAAAGAGAAAACACACCAAATTCAAGAATATATCATCATTGCTAGAGTAGAGAGAATATATAAACCTCCAAATATCATATGCTCTGCTGAAAAGTCTCCCTGAAGAGGAACTTCGCCCTAAAATGAAGCAGAATCACACGAAAGTAAACTAATCTCAGATCAAATTGATAAAATGTTAGGTTGAGTAATCTTTGTCTAATTAATCTCTATGGAAAGCAACAGAGGATACTCACAGCTGAACCAACGGTTTTACTCCAAGATCCTCCAAGGTAAGACAAGTCACCACTGCAAACAAGTTGAGTATCATGGAAAGCAGAGCGGCTAAGAACTTGTACAACGTTCTTTCCTCCCACCATATGCTTTCCAGCCAAAATCTTCAATAGAGTTGTCTTGCCTGAACAAATAGTTGTTCCACAAGAACACAAGCTGTGTTTTATGGTAAATGATGTCTCAAGCTAGTCACTGTCATATATGATCAGAAGCAAGCAAGAAACCTAATCGAGCTTATAGTACCGAGGCATGAAAACATAAAACATAAAACCACAAGCGATGATCTCTAACTGCTATAAATCGATCAACGTACCAGATCCATTGGCGCCAACAAGAAGGCAACGAGATCCAGCTGGGAGCTCGAGGTTGAAATCAAAGAATATAGGATCCTCGGCTTCATAAGAAAACTCCATACCATTAACTCTAATGGCATCATCACTGGT